GTGAGTGCATCGCGATGCAATAGTTACAATAGTGGCACAAAAAAGTCCACTTCTGACAGATTAACAGGAAAGGACTATTTGGTTCACTCACTCACTCACCATTGTTACCCATGTTCCAATAAACAGATGCTGTGTGAAAATATAGGTACAGTCAGGCCCCAAAGAGTGCAGGAGTGTGTTAGCTGCCACAGACAAATGTGCTGCGCTGGACCATTTCCTTCAGCAGAGATGTAGGGTGGTGTTTCTGTAAGAGAGGGAGCTGCACAGCTCCACCACTGAGCTGAGGGGAGGATCCCAGTTCTTCCAGAGGATCTGAAGCTGAAATTAGGAACTATCAGGCAGGACAGGACCTAGTGCTTCTGGGCCTGGACCAAGGGGGTGTGGGAGACAGCTATGTTGAAGATGTGCATCTGATCCCCACCAGCATGATCCCTAAGATAGCATGTCCTCAAACAGAGTTTGGCAGCCATGCATGCCTCAGGCCTGGACAAGCCACAAGTAAATGGCTGATTGATTGTCAATACTGAGATCATTTAACAGGTTTTTTCACTTTGAGAAAGGGAAAGTGAAGAACACATAGAAGAAAAAGCAATGGAAAGATGAAGGCAGATGACATAAGTAACAAGAAGATGGAAAGAAACCACACTCAAGAAAGACCCAATTCTCTGAACTGCAAACCAATGGATGTTAGGTGAGGGCAATAAGTCAAAGAAGAGCAGGAAAGAGTGAAGAACAACAAAAGGCAAGGCAGGGCAAGGAAAGGAGAGGGTGAAATGCAAGCAGAAAAAGACTAAGAAAGCAGATGCAACTCCTTTGCATGTTTCAGTCTTTGCATTTCTGTGTTACGGTTTCACACTGAGCTGTGCTGCAGTGGTGGTTACTCAGTGTAAGAGAAGGACTTTTGCAGTGGAGGGCTGTGGGAGCTGCTTCTGTGGCTTTCCTCATTGCTCTGGGTGAATGGCTCAGAGGTGGGTGGCACAGCACAGGGAGCAGGACTTCAGTGCTCCTGTGCCTGAACAGAGGTGGTGATCCCTTCTGTGCTAAACAGCCCCAAGGATGCAGTGGCACTGTTTGGTTTTTCAAATGTCATTTCCATTAGCATTTTGTAATTGAATCAGTAGCACTTTACTGAAGAGGTTAAATTCTGCCTTTTAAAAATCAAATCAGTGTTTAGCTGTCAACCAGAGTCATGCTCTCCTATTGCCTCAAGAAGAATTAAACATCTGCATATTGACATATAAACCGTATTGCTGGAGAATGCATTAACTCTCTTATTTATGACTGCATTGTGCTACAAAGTCTTGCATCTTGTAATTGAGGGCTCTCTGATGAATTCATTGCATGTAAAATCTGTGGAAATTATTAGCACAATACATTTCCATAATTAAATTATTTTCTACAGTGTAGATTTGAAGACTCCCTAACACTGCTCAAATGCAAAATGTTAGGAAAATTTAAATACAAGCACAACAAAGTTTTTATGCATAGAGAATATTTTTTATTAGACCGGTGGGTATAGTTGGGAAAACCTATCAAATCAGCTGTATTCAGGGACCCTTTTTAGGTGACCAATGAAAGCTTTATTTGTTGCTGGCCACAAAGAATTGTGCAGCATTACATTCATAGAGTGATCTTTGCCTTGCCATCAGTGACATAACCAAATACTTTAAATTAAAGCTATAGTGAAGCATTCATAGGAACTCTTGGTTTCAGGGGATAATTCTTACTAAGGTGATGCTACATTAAGAGTTACCCTAAGGTAATATTGATATTACAGTGATTTGCAGCAAGCATTGTCTTTAGTCAAAAGCTGCAGTTTTAGATTGCTCCTGAACTCAGACAATTCTGGAAAAAAAAATAGTAATAATTTCCCTTTCTTATTCTCTTTCCAGTTAAAAATGTGCCAGGATATTGCAGGTAGCAGTATTACTATTAGCCATGTGTCTGAGAAGTCCATTTGTCTTGTTAAGGCTGTCATACTGTATTACCCTTTTTGTAACCCTGGAAACAACTTCAAATCTGTGATATTTGAAAGGTCTGAAGTATAGCTTGTCCCTAAAATGCTATGAGTGTTTTTTGAGACTCCCCATACCAGGGAAGAAAAAGGCTTTTCCCATTGCACAGGGCATTAAGCAGTGATGGATGTGCATTTCTTTGTGAGGAAGCTGATCCTCACCTCTTGTAGGTGGGGTAAAAAACAATGCACAGCACTAACAAGTGTCCTCTCTCTTCACCTGCCCATAGAGTTCAGGAATCCTTCTCTCTAAGCGTTGCACGAGAGGATTTTCAGGAGGCAATAAATAAATTTTGATCCCTCTGGTTAATACAGTTAAGGTCAAAGAGATTTCATCTGGAGCTATTTAAAATACTCTTAACATGCAGACACACTGCTGTCAGTAGTGCTAAGTGCCTTATCTGGCTGAGGAGTGTATACAACCCTTATGAAATTATTCTTAAGTATTCTGGTTACTATATTTAGCTCTGGCTCATAACAAGACAAAAAGCATTTAGCTAAATGTAGTCCTGAAGTGCTTAATCCAGTTAAGAATATTTTGTCCTTAGGTGTCTCCTACTAAGACTTTTTGTAGCTCACCATCCTGCTGCATCATGCAAAAAGCTTCTCTGTGTGTTTGAGCCTGTGAATGGTTTTATAGCCATTTATTCTGTTAAAGCCTCAAAGTCTGGTGTTGACTCGGGACATCTCTCATGTTCATTAAGGGTGTCCTACTGGGACAGATCCAGGATGCCTTATTCCTCTGCCCCTTGCACTTCACATCAACCAGACTGCAGTGGGATGTGGTAGATGCTGCTAGAGATTGGAGAATCTGGTCTTCATTTCCCAGTTTAGACTGGGTGAGCATCAGATAGCCTGTTGCTTCTCAGTGATCAAACAGCTTACTTCAGCTTACTGCTATTCAAACTGGCTGGGAAGGCAGCCACCTGTACAAGGCAGGAAACCTGTTGGGCTTCCCTGGAGTTTTTAGTTGTCAGACAACCTATGGGCAAGACAGTGTGAAGGTTTCTGTGTAATGCTTTACACTCAAAGCTTGGGAAGAATCCTTTTGTTTGGTGGAACTTTTGCAACTTGAGCCCATATAGAAAAAAAATGTTTCCTGAAAAACTGTGATAGATCTGTTTGTGTATTCACAAGCATTTATAATGTAGCACATTGCTTTAAAAAGGATTTTCCTTATACCTACATACCTCTGAAATTATTACAAGTTATTAAAACATCTGTATGGGTCATTCTTCTAGAGGAGAAACAACTGGATGGTTTTGATAAAACAGCACTGACAATAGCAGCAGTGACTAAGATAAGCACCTTGCTTCTATGACATCTCAATAAGGTAGCAAATAAGATCACATGCTCCTTTTGAACTGGGATAAAAGCTTGTAGCTTGAGCAGTGTATGATGGCTGTGAGAACAGGAGCACAGCAGATCTACCGGTTTTAAACTTGCTACCCAGATGTTGTTTTCAGTTGCAGCTTCGCTGAAGATATCGGTTGGGTAAGATTTTCCCTGAAGTTCACGTTCCCAACTGCATTTTTTATGGATAGACTTACCACTGGAACACATTAGGTATTTTATATGTTACTCTAGTACTTCTTTTGTGTCTGAGATTCAGACCTCTTACAGGTAACTTCCATATTACTGTCTGAAATGATGAGATTATGCTTTATCTGAGCCCTTATTTTTTTTGAGCAAATGGACCAGCATAATTTCATTCAGCTGCAATGAGCAGGAGTGAGCAGGAATTGGGCCTGTTGTCTCACGTTACTCACATAAACCTCCCCTACAAAGCACTCTCACCGTATTCCTGCTGGGGATCTGTGTTGTTCGTGGTGCTTAGCGGCTGCCCCACAATGTCAGCCCCTACCCTGTCCCAGCTGCCCTTTCCAGCATGCATGCCTAATGTGTGTCTCTTGGCATGCTTCTTCAACCACCTTCTTGTGTTTCATAGAATCCTAGAATGATTTGGATTGGAAGGGACTTTAATGGTCTTCCAGTTCCAGCCCCCTGCCATGTGCAGGGACACCTTCCATTAGACCAGGTTGCTCCAAGCCCTGTCCAGTCTGGCCTTGAACAACAAACAGCTGTTCCCTTTGAGGCGTTTTCACTAGTTGGTGAAATGAACAAGCTCTTGCTAGTGCTTTAGATGATCAGAAATGTGGGGGTATTTTTTCTCATTCACAATGGTTACAAATATGTTATTCTCATGGTTGCAGAGAGGTTTTTTGCAGTGTTTTGAGCTGATGTTGGAGTTAATGGGAACAGGAGAAATAGCCATGAACCTGGGCTCAACACAGGGAGGGCATTAAAAACTTGTTAAGTTTGGAAGCCCAGCACTCGGCTATTATTGAAAATATTACTGTCAGTCATGGACACTGTGGTTTCATTTGTGTCTTTCCTGAGAATGAGGCTCATCTGGAGCCAAACAAGTTTCAACAGCGATGGTTTCAGAGAGATGAGCACTGCGATGTGGGTATAATCGGTTCAGGGTGTTCATTAATAACTGCTTAAAGCACAAACAAAAAGGAGAGGTGTGTGTCCTGTAAGTAGTAAACCTTAATGGGAGGCCTTAAGTCTATCCACAGTCTATCATCTCAAAGGAGGAAATGCAAGATAAATGTATCATACTTGATGGTTTTCATAGCACACATGCCCAGTAAACTGTCATATTTTGGAAGGATTCCTATCAATCCTCAGTGGCCCCAGGTCAGTAGGACCATTCCTGCACCCTGCTGGGCTACATGGCTTTTTGGGCACAAGAGATCAAGCTGGCCTTCCCATGGAGCAGCAGCAGGCATGGAAACAGAGCAAGGACCCTCAGAACTTGGTCCAGCTCCCAATCCAGGAGGCTTTTCTGAGCATTCACCATTTATAGTTGAGCATGTTTCTAATTTATGGTGGTAGACTTTTTCAACTTGAAGTGATTGCTTCTCTCTAGGCTAAGTCTTGCATGCAAAAGTGTTTTAACTGGATTTGCTTTTCTTTCCAGGATTAATTTTCCTCCGTCTCTATTTACATGGTGATAAGAAGTGCTAATCCCACTCCGTCAGTCTGGGCTGATGAACCTGAGGAATAGAACTGGTAATTTCTAATTTGGCTTGTAGTTTTCAGTGACTTAGGCAGTGAGTGAGAACCATTCCCTCCCCATGGAGTGCTTTCATACTTCGGGACAAAAGAAGTCATACTTTCTTCTGCCCAGGTCATTTTCTGGGAGGGAGATCCTTGCCCCAGAGCAGGAAAGGAGGGTAAATTTTTGTAGCTTTTACTGTGAGCAGTGTCTTTGGCTTCCTCTAAGTTGTGAGTGGTTTTATAGCCACTAAGTTGTTTAAGCTTGGAGAAGTCTTAAAGCAGGGAAGAACATTTGGATGTGCACATTGAAAAATGCCCCTTGGGAGGGTTTTGCCAGTGAAAGAGCTACCTAGAGATGGAGGCATATTGGTGCTGATGCCGGGATCAGGTGCAGTTTTCCTCTTTGGAGGTGTCTGAAGGGGATGCAACCCAGCAGAGCTGACCTGGGCAACATGTCATGGAGTGATGGCAGCTGTCTCTCCTGCATCTGCCTGACTTCCTACCCCTTGGACTTAGCCCATCTGGGTCACAGAAAGCAAGTCACCAATGAAGAATTTACCCTCATATTGGATTTTCCATCATTTCCCGGGGCTTGAGAGTACTGTGTCCTTCCTGAGAGTTGTTGCCCACTGTTCACCTTACCTGTGCTGCAGGAACAGATAAAGAAGATAAAGAGAGCAGTCCACAATGACTGTTGTGGTGCAGGAACTCAGGGGACCCAGGTCACATTCCTTTCTTCCCCTGGTTAGTGCCAGGTGACTTGTTGACAAGTCTCAACTTCAGGTCTTGGGTATGAATCCCAGTGGTTGGACACAGCTCAGATGTGGTGAAGTCCACCAGTGCAAGGAGCAGTCATTGGCTGCAGGATGCTTTGGATGAACCTGTCTATCACATCATAGCTTAGATGTCCTTATTGTAGCCTGCTGTTGCCTAATACTAATCCTTTTGGGGATTAGCACAGTTTCCTTATTCCTCCTTATGCCCTTCCACCGAGAAAGAAATCTCAGATGCTTTTCAAGTATTGCAATGCTTGAAATCAACCAACAGCCTGTTTGATTTTCCAAAACGGGACCAGACACAGTGCTGCCTGGTACAGACATCAGAGTCAAATCAGCTCTCACATTTGCAGGGGAGATGCTTATTCCTGTGCAAAGCTCAGTGCTTCCTCAGGGTTCCTCTTCACTTGGCAGCGGGGAGTGCAAAGAATCTGAGAGGCTGCTGGCTTTTAGCTCTTTCCCTCTAAAGTCGCTCATATTTTAGCTGTATGTTTGGGGGTACAGCAATGGTTTCACTTCTCAAGACTCAGTAACTCTCAGAAGCAAGAAACTACGTAACAAGATTGGAGTTTGGGAAAGGGAAGATTGGAACATTTAGTAGGTCATAAAGTACAAACCAGTAAGCTCCGTATTCTGACATCTGCAAAAAGATCAGGGAATATGTCTCAGTAAGTACTTCTGTCCTTTCCTTCCAGAGCTCTGTGTTGTGTAAACGAACTGATGGATGAAGATGAGAAGGACAGGGCAAAGAGGTATGAAGAGGATGCACAGAGCACTGAGAGCAGAAGCTCCTCCCAGGGAGAATTGTAAATGCTGTGTTGTCCAGTGCTTGGAAAAACTATCTGGGACTACTGATGTCAGAGGCAAACCCCCCATACAGTTTATAGGGTGCATATAGCAGACCACAAACAACATAATTAAGTCATCATCTTCAAGCTCCTCATAGTGTGTTTGGCCACCCCTGTGATGGCTTAATCAGATGAGTGTTCTTTATAGTACATAGTTGTGCCCTCAGAATCTCATAGTATCCTGTAGCTATTATTTTGACGCAGGATTCCTGACCTCTGGTTTTATTGGCATCATGCAGTGCTGCCCACCTGGGGCAGAGCTCCCTGTGAACCTTAGAGAGCAGTCCTGTTTTAGCACAAGTATGAGTTAGTCTCCCTTCAGAGAAGCATTTGGCTGAGTTCTAATTAGTCATTGTACACAAGTACCGAAACAGAGATGGCTGTGAACATAAATGCTGGATCTTAGAACCTTCAAATGCCAACCTGAATATGAATGGAAATGCTTTCTACATACCACACTTGGTCTAGATCACAAGGAGCATGTATCATCATGAATACACTTCTATTCATGTAAGAAAATTAATTACTACTGGAAGAGGTTGTAAGAAAACAGGGTTATCTCAGATATAAGCATTGGAAAAAAACATTTTGGAAGAAACTGAGTGGATTTGCTTTCCTCTTTATTTTTTTAATGGAGGAGAAAACCCTAATAAAACATTCTTAAATTGTATTAATGCAAGCTGTGGTTTCTGCAGCCAGACTCTTAACATTCCTGGTTTCATATATCATAGCAGCAGATTTTCAAAACCAGATAGAAGGGCATGTGCTTGACTTTTTTATGCAGTCAAGTTGTCTCTGCACAGTATTGTTTCTTGATAAGCTACTTTTGTAAGTACAAATCAGGGAGTAAGGAATCATTCACATTTTGACCTTTATACCTTATATAGTATGTACTCACTGCAAAACATAAGCTCATAAAAATGAGATTGGCAAAACATGAACACATAGGTGCCAGGACTTCTCTTACTGGAAGAATTTTGCCCATAACACCTTCACCTCATTACCATGCTTTTGAAACAATGTAAGGATGCAGTCTTGCTCTTGTGAATATAAATCATATTTGTTACCTCCAGATGTTCCCTGCTGATGGTGAGCTCAGTTCTGCTGCAAAGCCCTGAGCACCAGTGAACTGTTTAATGCCCAAGCCTAATTTTAAACAAATGAGCAGTCCCAATGGAGTTTAGATTCTTGTATTTAAAGTGTTTTGCTGGGGCAGGGCCATTTGGCTCTCCCTGGGTCAAGCTGTATGTCCTTCATTTTACTTAGCAGCATTTTTCTTTCTGTCATCCAGGGCATCACGCAACAAATCTGAAAAGAAGAGGAGAGACCAGTTCAATGTCCTCATTAAAGAGCTTTGCACGATGCTGCAGGGCCATGGCCACCCTCTCAAGATGGACAAGTCCACAATACTGCAGAGGACCATCGACTTCTTACAGAAACAGAAAGGTACTGGAGGGCTCAGGCCTGCTTCTGTTGAAGGTGCTCGCTCTGCATCTGCCCGGCGGCCAGATTCCGCTCAGATGAAAACTCCTTTTTCCCAAGCATCTAAGACCTCCAGAGAGGACATGATCTTAAGTGCAGGGCAGAATAAGGCACAACAGTTGGCCTCAGGAAATGAGCTAGGTTTGAATACAGCGATGACGAGTTAAGCATAGATACACTTGAAAAGATGCTTTTTAATGTAGTGACATTGCTCCGTTTCCCTCCCTGGCCTCTGCGTCCCCTGGCACGCTTTGTACACTCTCAAACAGAGCATGAGGGAAGAAGAGCAGAGGAACAGCACACACTGCAAAAGCCAGGGGAAAGGAGGCTCTGTGCCCTCTTACCAGGTCTCCTTGGATAGAAGATGTCTGGGTGCAGCCTGTCCTACTGCTTGGGCGCTCCTGGACACCCAGAGGTGCCCAGCTACTCTGAAATTAGCTCACTGACCTTGCATTTGAAGGATTTCTTCAGAACACTGAAAATGTCTCCTCTTCCTTTTCTTGATTTCTAATGTATTTGTATCACATTGGCATGGAAAATGACTGTTGCACACAAGAAGGCTTTGTGTGGAGAATGATCTGAGGATGATTCCTCTGAAAACCTCTTAAAAGAAATCGAGTGTTACTTGATAGGAAAAAAAAATCCAAGTAGTATGAGTCATGTTGCTTTTTTGATGTTTTTTCTTTAAAGAAATCACTGCACAGACAGAAGCCTGTGAGATTAGACAAGACTGGAAGCCTTCATTTCTTAGCAACGAGGAGTTCACCCAGTTGATGTTAGAGGTAAGAAATTAAAGCTGCATAGATTAGTGAGAAGTAATCAGGTCAGTGGAGTAGTTCAGAGACATATACCTCTTTTTCCCCTATTCAGGTCCCAGTGGTAGTATTACTGATTTCTACTCTGCTGGTACATATAATGCAAACCTGTCAGACCAGTGTTATGCTAAATGATTTGCAGACACAGAGTTAAAAATGTGATTGCTTCCCCTTAAAATAAACAGCTTTTCATTTAGGAATTAAGACCAGTGTGGCCCAGATTTGGCCTGGTGAGAGAGGAAAAAGAGAATTGCCCTTCTCAGAAGAGCCGTAAGAGCTAGCAGTTTTAGCACAAACTTGAAAGGACCTAAAGAAAGCAGAGCAGCTCTCTTCCTCCACATCCCATTAGCCAGGCAGCATTTACTTTGCTGCCTTTGCTGCTGCTAGCTGTGCGGTGCTGTACTTGTGATGTGAATGCTGTATCTTTTGATTGAGTTGCCTTAAAGTGCATCCAGGAGAACAGCTCTGACACTCTCACTTCTAAAATGCTTAGCTGATCTAGAAACACCCTGTGAGCCTACCTTTTTCTTTCCTTCAGGATGCAGCTTTGAGTCTGTGCTGCGTACTCCTCCAGCAAGGACATCTCTTACCCTGCGTGGGCAGCTGTTGTTCATTGCCCCACCAACATAAGGGTGTATTCTGGGCTGAGCTGGGAGGTGCTGCAGTCTTAGTTATTCCTTTTCATCAGGATGTCATGACTCACCTCCCTGGAAAAGTCTGTTCATTCTTTCTGGGAATTTCTCTCACCAAACAAGCTAGCTTGTTCCAGCTGAATCAAAACAACCCCCCCACACCACCACCCCTTAAACGTAGCAGGGTAGAGAGAGCCCTTTAATAACTTGGCTTGCTGGACTATGTTAGACCATTGTCCAGCTTGCTAAAAATCAGTGTTTCTTTTCCAGAGAGGGCTTCTTTTCAGCAAAGGCAGAGTATGACTGAGGTGAGGAAGATGGTGAATACTCCATTTCTGCCTCCCTGTAGCTTAGCTGCAGAGCAGCCTAACAGTGTCTTTAGAAGAGTTGGCTTTGTGCACGGTGTTGACCAGAGGTTAAACCTCCCAGATCTTGGTACATGTTAGAGAAGAATAGGGACAGACACTGGGTGTAAGAAGATGATGGGAAGAACAGGGAGAACACCCAAAGAGGGAGGCATATGCAGTGACTTAAAAGGGACAGAGAACTTTTACTCCAGGAAAGAAACCATTGTGAATAAGAAAGGGAAAACAAAACAAACTTTAAAATTGTTGTGTCACTCCCTAACAAATCAGTGCTTTAAGCAAAATAGAGCAGGCTTTAGATCTTGCCCAATTTGTCCATAAATTACTAAAAATACAGTATTGTATATTTTTTCTGTCTCTACTTATCCATTCATCCATCCACCCACAATGCTGGGTTTGTCGTGATGATATCTAACATCTCCTTATGGTTAACTATTGTGTAATCCAGAACACATAATGAAGGGACTGAAGTCATTGGGATTATGTGGGTGTAGAAATTCTGGCCACCATTGTCTTGCTTCATGTTAAATGAATGGGTGAAAAGTACAAGTCAATTTAATATTAATGAGCAAATAAGAATGTTGAATTAGCATGTGTAATTTTTAGTTTTCCACATTGAACAATTTTTTCCATAATTAATTTATGTTAGTTTTAGGCTGTTAGTAGCATCACCAAAGAATAAATTATATTTTAAGTTTTTCCCTTGGATAATTCTTTTTATTTTGTTTTCTTTTTTGCTTGCCTTTATCGTTAGGCACTAGATGGCTTTCTCATTGCTCTTACCACAGATGGGATTATTATTTATGTATCGGATAGTGTTTCATCTCTGCTTGGACACTTACCGGTAAGTTCTGACATCACAATGTGTTGAAGAACCATTCCCCTGATTAACACAGCCCTGTCACTGCACCAACAAACAGGGAGTTTCTCAAGTTCCTGTGAGCAACAGAGTCACTTTTGAGGGTTAGCTTAAAAAACCCCAAAGCTGTACAAAGTCACGGTACTCAGAGCTCACCATTTGGCTGCACGTCGGAAGCATGGTCCGGGTGGTGTTTATCCCACCAGGTATATGGAAAATCTCATGTTTATGAAATCTGTGCATGCAGAAGCTCTTCTCAGATAACTTAAAGGTTATTTCAGGACTGATTCTGTGCTCTTCTGATGACATTGGGCTTTTCTACTTTGAGCCCATGGTCTTTAGTCACAAGTACGTGGCCTCAGAGTTTCCTAGAACTTTGAGAATCAGTTGGCTGCTGGCCCCTCAAAACCTGTTTTTGTCTTTTATGGTGCCAAGCATGAGGCCCGAGTGATGCTACATGAGGGCAAATCTGAGCACACAGTTAACCGCGCTGAGTGTCTCGGTGCGCAAAGAAACAGATATGTGATAAAATTTTAGTAGAGCCCCTTTACTCAGGATGTGTGGGCTGCTCAGCACTGAGACGCTTGCAGGTCAAGCTGATTTTGCCAGATGTTCAGCCTAGAAGACATATGGAAGATGTGAGGAGGAGGTCTCCCACTCCTGTATCATGCTATCAAAGGGAAATGTTTCACAATTTCATTTTGATATGATATTTGTCATCTTTGCTGTATTCCCATGGTACAAGGGTTTCTTTTCTAGCTTGCATCTGGCTGAACAGAAGGACAGCCTCTGGGATCCCTTCAACCTTTTGCAAATAGATAGCAACCCTGGGTAAAATAACCTAAAAGTGTTATAGTCTGCCCTAGGTCCACCTGCAGATTGATTGGGCTTCCTTGTCTTAAACAGCCACGCTAGACAGGCAGCATCTGTGCTGTACTGTGGGATGAAAAGGCATGTGCTTCTGTCAGGCTGTACTGCTGAACATGACAAAGCATTCTTTTGTATCAGTCAGATTTGGTGGACCAAAATATATTAAACTTTCTGCCTGAGCGGGAGCAGAGCGAGGTGTACAAGCTCCTTTCTCCACATGTGCTCATGACAGATCCTGTTGCAGCTGATTTTCTAAACGGTAAGCACAGCTCTTGTCTGTCTGTCAGGGAAATTTGCCAAAGGCAAACAGCTCCTAGGGAGCCTGCACAGGGCTCTCCAGCTATTTAATTCTCCTGCCTGCCACTTCTGCTTTGTTGCAGTTAGTATTTCTGGGGTTTAATACTAATGCTGCTACGTGCTCCCAGTACTTGGTCTTTGATTCGAGCAGTCTTTGTTTTACTGTCTGCTTAGCACCATAGGACAGTGAAGTTGCCCCCATTAGATGCTTTTTCCAGGGCAGGGTGCTGGTCTGAGCCTGTGAAAGGAGTGAGGGGCCTGGGGGAAGGAAAAGGGTAAGAAAAATCCCAAAGGGTTTTGGCAGATCATTTGCACCTTAGGAAACTTGCATGTCTTGGGACACCTGAGAAACCCTATGTGTAATAAAATCAACAGCCTTCCCATCTGAACAGTCCGTATAGATCTCTACTGCTGCTTGCCATCCCACCCCCAAAATGTCCCTTTCCCCCAGAAAACACCCCCAGCACCAGAGCAGGCACCAGTGTCTTCCTAACACCCACGATTCACATGTCTGTATGGGGATCCATCCGCCTTTCCCCGTAGGTTCTCCATGGCCAGGCAGTGCTAGCCTCTCCTCTTTGCTGCCCTGTAAGCATCATGGGCACTGGGCAGCCCTTCTGCTGGTGCTCTGCCCTCGGGTTGGTTTCCTTCTGGCTTAAGCCTTAACAAAAAGGCTTAAGGTGACTTCAGTGCCCTTTGGATCTGGGTCCTACTGAGCAGTGCCACAGCAGGGTATGTAGTATAGCTTAACAGCTTTGTGTGAAATTGTGTGTACGCGAAATCAGAGGAAAATACCACTGACCAATATTGCCAGAGCTTCATGCCCAGCATAGTGGGGTGGCTGCAGAGCCATAGAAGAAAGGCTGAGAATAGATTTCTTTAAGCAGAACCAGCTGATCATTGCTCCTGGTAGTTATACATTTACTTACGGGTCTCAAGAGCATCCCAGCAGGGCATGCTCCGATATTGCAGCAGCAGGGCTGGTATAAGCACGTAGATAGATTTGATATATGGAGTGTGCTAAAGTGCAGATTTCTAGTAACATTGTGTATTTCTCTCTCTCTTTCTCTCATTTCAGCAGAGAAACAAATAGAGTTTTGTTGCCATTTAGCAAGAGGCAGCTTAGATCCAAATGAACCCTTGATGTATGAATATGTGAAATTTGTAGTGGATTTTAAATATTTTACTCATGGTAAGTTCCTGCTCCAACCTACCTTTAACTCTCTCTCACTCTTTTACATTGTACATTAATCCGCAGCCTCCTAGAGGCCTTGTTTCAGCTGAAAATGCCCTGTGATCAGCAGGGATGGAACGAGCTGTGGATATGTTGGAGATGTTTTTCGTACAAACGTGGTGGGGAGGCTGTTGGTCAGAAGAGCGAACTCTTTTGCATGCTGTGCTTAAAAAAGCGATAACCAGGCTCATCCTACCTCCATTTGACCCACTGCCAATTGTAAAGCAGCCTACTCATTCAAATAACCGGTACAATGTTCTATTCTGATTCACTTGTGGCAGTCAAATGATGCTTTTTAAAGATTAAATAGTTAGAAAAACCTGTAGAATCTTGAATCATGCAAATGCTGAGCTGGAGAAAGGCTGACAAGGAGACTGTAGCTGCACACTTAGCTGCTCAGAACGGTCTTATGATGCTTCCCTGCAAGCCAGGGGTAGGTGGTTACCACTGTGTAACTTGGAGCCTAAAGGGTCAGTGCTTCAAATAACACCAGTGTGTATCAGTGTGGCATTGCCTTGTGGGTAGGAGGAGTCTGTTGTTTGGGTTTCATCAGTCATTGTACCTGCCTTAACATGAAAAGAAAGCTCTCCTTCCTCTTCTTAAATAAATTGTCTGGTTGTGTCTAGTGCCTACACCCTCCTGTAATGGCTTTGAGTCAGCTATTGCACGAGCTTTCAGGTCAGCCACAGAGGAGCAGATTTGCCTCGTAGCAACTGTTCGTCTTGTCACACCACAGTTCTTAAAGGTGAGAGCTCTGTGACTGCATTGTCCCTTTCATGTGGGGATGGGCTGGTGCTGGTACCATGAGCTGTGTGCTTGGCAGTTGCGATGGCAGATGTGATGCAGCATCCTCTCAAGAGTACGCTCAGCAGCATAGGTTGTGTGTGCAGAAGGCTGGTAAATGAGAGAGGACCCCACTGTGTCTGGAGTGGGAGGCAACAGAGTGTGTGTTTTGGAATGACAAGACATAAAGCGGGAGCTGCTTTTGAGAGAAAGGATGGTCCTGCAATGGTGTGCCTCAGATCTGTCAGCCCTGGTCACCAAACGAGGTGACCAGCTAAACCACTTGAAAAGCTGCAGAATTTAAAGATATATATCCCATTGCTCCTTTGTGTAAGAAGGCCACCTGCTTCCTGGAACACTGAGCACCCTGTTCCATGGACTCTTTCTGCTGGTCTGTAAGTGTCCTGTGGTGCAGTGCAGTGATGACAAGGATAACAACCATAGGTGCTTTTTGCTCAAAAGGGCATTAGCCAGCTCAATTTAAAGCTGAACTTGGTGCTGTTATCCATATTCAGACACCAGTATTTGCAAAAAGTGGTGAATATTGCCTACAAAAGATGAGGCCTTTGGACTATTTATCCTAGCTCTGAAATTCAGTCCAGGGTAAATTATTCAACCACTTCTTATCAGTTCATGCATCTATAAAACTAGGCTTATACATTCCTAAGGGGAAAATAAGTCAAGTGCTTTAAAAACACTGTACTTTGCTAGGGTTTGTTTTAACAACAAGATGCTTCCTTGGTCTTGCTACAGGTCTCCATTTGTCATGTCACAGAATTAAATGTTTGAATGTGCTGACTGTTTTGCAGGAGCTCTGCAATGTTGAAGAGCCATGTGAAGAATTTACATCGAGGCATAGTTTGGAATGGAAATTTTTATTCTTGGACCACAGGTAAGAGATTTAGTCACTGATGAATAAACAAACTGTTGTTTAAAACAGAAATCTTTGCCTGAGATTCCAAGTAGAATATCTCTAACTAAAAAAGCAACTGAGTGAGTAGCAACATCTTGAACTTACTTATTAGCATCCTTAAGTGCTTTGCTCTTTTCCGTATTTTGGACAGGTAACAAACCATATAAAATGGTGGGGAAATGTCTAACTTCTCCAAGATATTAAGTCATCGAAACTGAGAAATGTGGGTCCTGTTTCCTATATTAGTTTGGCTCCTCTGTTTTCCAGCTACAGCTTCCAGGAATCCTTCTAAATCTTTTGCTTTGTCAATAAGCTTTTATTTTCATCTTCATAAATGACCAAGGAAGTTATAAAGATAAAAGAAAAAACAGGGAATTAGAAGATTTAATTGCAGATTTGGTTTTGACAAATTAAAGTGACTCATATGCTGAGGCAGAGTTTGTGACAGCCCTGAATGTGAGTGGTGAGCCCAGACCCAAGAATGAGCAGGGGATCATGTGGGTTGTCTCCTTTAATCAGCAATTTAAACCTCTCTCAGTACAGTCTGCAGGATGCTGTGAAATGTTGTTGGGTATTTTGCTGTTTCTTGCTTACTTGCGTCAACTCACGTTGCCTGACCCTGACACGGGTCATGAGGAGGGGCAGAGGGTACTCAGCATGAGTTGGAATCAGGACCTTGGCTATCCTGATGACAACATAAATTAAAGATAGATAATGCAGAAGGCACTCCACAGATCTGAATAAACATTAGAGAACTAGGAAGGATCTGCATTCTGGGTCTACATGTAAGTATGTGTAGAGGAAGAAAGCCTGTTGACTTCAGTAGTGATCTCTTTCTCTTCTGCACTGTGGTCCTCTCCTTATTTTCCATTCATTTATTACAAGACTGCATGAAACAGGCTCTCTGAAGGCTGTGCATTCCCATTTGCAGAGAGAGTTGCAGGTCTCAAGTCTGGAACTTTAAGCTAACAATGCACTTCTAAATTGTTCCATAAGCAAGGCAGCTCCCTGTCAAATGACAGATGAGGAGCATTTTGTGGTTGCTTTCTCATTTAAAGAATTCTGGCAAAAGACAGGAAAGCATAATGCTTTCCTGATCAGCTTAAATGTTTATCTGATGTGCATCTGAAAGACATTACTGTCCTGAATATAAGCATGTCATTAAAGATAGGAGAGACACTGGCCCATTCTACCAAACAGACAGCAAGGAAGGACACTTTAACAAATACACGTATTATCATCATTAACAGAAATCTGGGTCACATGAGGCAAAGGAGGAACACAGTACTCTGAAAAGTTATTTGAATAAATAAAGCTGTATTGTAGCAGAGACCACTGTGTTCTAAGCACACTGTGTTTCAAGAGATTTGCCCTCAGAGACCGTGAATGTCTGGCTTTTCCAGGACCCCTTGTACTGGGACTGTGGAGCTTCTGCTCAGATCTTGATCCCCCTGGGGCTGCTGCGGAGCAGATCCCTGGCTGTCCTTCCCCATCTCCCATTTGATGCCAGACTGACCACAGCTGTGGGGAAGGTGGAGCTTATAGACCTGTCTGGGCTCTCTTTAGTTGAATAATCTATGCCCACTGTGTCTCTCAAGAGTACAAACGTGGAGCTGGGTTGCTCAGCCAAGACAGGAGAATTTCCCACAGTAATATCCAGAAGACTGAGAACGGATCTGTCCAAATCCAAATGTACTTCCAGTTAAATAACTTTTTGCTCATATTCTCAGCTGCTTTATGGCATCCACCTTCCTTAAGAGGGTCACTCGAAGCACCAAGAGGATGCCAGAGGAGAGGGGCATTTGATAGGCAGGGACACCTTCAGTCTGCCCCAGTTTTGAATCGTTAACCATTTTGCTAACACACTGCCACCTGGCAGAGCAGCCTCATGCTGTCAGCACAGCCAGCAGCAAAAACGAATAGGTGGAACCAAACAAATCCTGTCTCACCAAGTGTAGTGCTTGAACTGATGCAAGCAGGAGCGTACCTGAGAACTAAGGAACTGCTGATATAAGGAATAGTGCCAAAAATAGTGGTTTTCTGCTCACATTTCAGTGCTGTTTCATAATTATAAGCCAGCAGACTCCAGTAAAGGCTGTGCACAAGCTCAGTGTTGTTAGGACACCTGCTTAAAAACAAAATAAATCTCATCTTTTGCGTAGAAAATGGGAAATCTAGAACTGACAGCAGAATAGTGAAGGAAGTCATTGCAATGTATCTGAATACTTCATCAGTACCTTCTCTACCTGCATAGAAATAGCAGCCCTCAAAATCAGCCCCATGCCTATTCTTATCTTTTACTGCCAGCACAGAAACATTTTTGCTGGTTATAATTTCCCAAGCTTTTCCATGGGAACAATTACTTTTTCTTTTACCCAAGCTGGTCCTTCATCGCAGCTTGCTTTCTTCTACGGTTACTACCCAGATGACATTTACATCCAACCTACTGAATAATTTTACTCAAGCTCCAAGTTACTGCGCACATGAACAGCCATAGCGTTTCTCAAGCTGTGTGTCTCACAAGCATGCTTAATGAATTGAGTCACTTGCATACGTACATGCCTTTCTTTACGCCCACATAATGAATAGGCTGTGAAACAGTAAACACACACCTTTTCATTTGCTCAATTTTTACCTCCCCCTTGCTGTCTTTTTTTTGCTTGTATATGAAAATACATTGTTGTGTATATGAAAATCCACTCCTGATTTCCCTGCCAAGTAAATATATGAGGGGGGTTTGGTTGCTAGTGTCACAGCGTATCTGCCAGGATGTCAAAGCATCAGGTTTTGTGCTCACTCCCTGCCCTTTGCTTCCCTTCTAGGGCTCCACCTATTATAGGATATTTACCCTTTGAGGTTCTGGGAACATCAGGGTATGATTACTACCACGCAGATGACCTGGAGCTTCTTGCTAGGTGCCATGAACACTGTAAGTTCCTCTCCCTCTGTAGCGTGCCTGTCTTTGATCTCATTTGTCATTTATGCAAAACCCTTTCCTGTCGTCACAAAAGACATCTTTATCTGGGGTGCGAGGGAATTCGCTCTTCCTGTCACAGACTGTTGTAGCTGATGAGTCTGAATCCCTGCAGAATTCACTCAGAGCAGGAACTGTTTGTGCAGGTTTCCCAGACTGGCAGATACCGTGTTTGAGCACAGGTTGTCTGAGAGTGAAATGAGAGTAATAGATGGGAAGTCAGGGCTTTCCACGCTCTGCCCCCAGTTTGTGAGGCAGCCTCAAACCCTGGCAGTTTTGTTGGTTGTCTCAGCTCATGAGTTCTGTTCTCCTGGGTCCAGAGTCAGTCAGAAGGCTCGGCTCACCAAAATGCCTTCTGAAAACAGCATTTGGACCGCCTGCCTGTGCAGTTAGATGTTGCAAACCTCACTGTCAGTAAAATGCCTCTGGAGTTTCATAGTATTTTTTCGTAGAATCATAGAATAGTTAGGGTTGGAAAGGACCTTAAGATCATCCAGTTCCAACCCCCCTGCCATGGGCAGGCACACCTCACACTAAACCATGCCACCCAAGGCCTTGTCCAACCTGGCCTTGAACACCATCAGGGATGGAGCATTCACAACCTCCTTGGACAACCCATTCCAGTGCCTCACCACCGTCACAGGAAATAATTTCTTCCTTATATCCAATCTAAACTTACCCTGTTTAAGTTTACAGGACATTACCCCTTGTCCTGTAACTACAGTCCCTAATGAAGGGACTGTAATTTTTAAATACAAAAGTGCTGGATGCAGATTCCATGTCTTTGAATGTTGGTTGACCTGAAAGTAAAGCAGAAAAGTCCAGTTCAGTCTGCTGTGTGAACACCAGAGAATGACCAAAGTTCATCTTTGTGTAAGGTGAAGCACCGTGACTTACAAGCGCCCAGGAGGAGCCGGGCCAGAAGGAGCACTTAGCCTGGGTACTGCAGCAGTGCAGCCTACTGCTGAAGAACTATGTCCTGCTGACCAGCTGGAGTTGATGTGAAGGGCAAAAAGTGGTAGCAGACAGGTTCTAGTAGTAACCAGTGTGCTGTTTCTACCAGATGAGCTTGTGAGACACTTTATCCCTGAAACTGTATTTTTCCATTTTGTTACACTCACTTGAGATTCAGATATCAAGCCAGAATTAGGTCTGTTGTCCAGGTGGCTTGCATTGCCAAGCACTGAAATGAAACTACACACTTTGTAAAGTGCACCTAGCTAATGAGATATTTTGCGAAGAAATATTACTTATGGGTATCCTGTTGGGCAAACTCTCCATGTGTTTGTGTCTCTGCTATTTGCTTGAAAGGATTTTTTGTCAAAAGAAAACAAGGACACCCCAGAGATTGGAGAAAGTGGGATGCTGTAACTGCTCCGAGATGCACAGCAGCGTGATGCAGGGACACAGGAACTCCGCAGCCCCCCAGCTTGCTGGAGTTAGAGATGCTGCTTCGTCTCTGAGTTGCAAACCACCCCCATCTCTACCACTTACACATAAGATGCTAAAGGACCTAGTAGAGAATGGAGAAAATTACTACTTCTTTAAATGTCAAGTTTCCCCACTCCACTTCCCTGGCAGCTTTCATGCCCTGTTGAGGCAAAGTGCTGGTACAGAATGGGTGGTGGGGAGGTGGGTTGCATGGCTGAGAGCATATAGGAAGCTGTGAAAAGGGCCAGACACAGGTTGCATGAAGTGCAGCAAGTGTGTAGATGGGAATATTAAAGGAAAATTTTAATTGCTCTCAAGTACAGTACTTTTGAGTGCCATTAGCTTTAAAGACTGTTCAGACAGGAGTGAGTTACTTAACCAGATGATGTGCTTTAGGTAATACGTGCCTGCAGTTTGATGTAGACACTAACTATATTGAGAGTGGGGTCAGATCATTCAGCAGAGACTCTTTTTAGCATTTATATTCTACATCTGTCCTAGCCATGGATCTCCTCTTACATACTAAAAGACGATTTGCACAACACACCTGAAGGAAAGGTTCCTTCAATCTTACTGTGCAGGGGACAAAATAAGGTGCTAGCACAGTGACTTACAGAAGTTGCTTCAGGAAATCTCTGCCTGACTGGGGGCTGAGTGACCCCAGCACAGTGTGTTAGCCAGAAGGCCTTCACTAAGTGCGTCATATAAAGCCCATCACTGTTAATGGCATTGCTAAAGGACTTAGTCCTGATATTTAACAAAGTAGAGGTGTGCAGGTGAGTAAAAAATACTTGGGTTAGTGTGGCTTGATAAGTTCCTCTTCGTGAGGCTGACCACTCTGGGCAGGCATCTTGCCTACTCTGAAGTAAAATGGGTTTGCTCAAACCATATTTTATTTTGCATTAATTATGGGTATTTCAGGTGAGCAAATTTTGTTTTGCACTCCGAGCAATCTGGAAACAATGTGGTTATTTAATGTAGTTCTCATTATTTTCTAGTTGTATTACACCACTTGAATTTTTTATGGGCATACTCTGATAATATGTACCAAGTCTGGTATCGCTGGGTCATCTCTTGGAAGAAAACTTTCAGTTAAACTGCTAAAACTCCACTATCTTGTTGTTTATGCCATTATTATGATCCTGGCTTCAAACCCCTGTCTTTAAAATGCATTCTTATATACTTGTGACAGGCCAATAATTTGTTCACAGTATCACAGTATCACAGTATGTTAGAGATTGGAAGGGGTTAATGTTATTTATGCTTATTGCAAAGGATCCCATGAATAAGTTATAAAAATACAGCTAGTCATAGAGTTATGCCAATTATTAGTTATTAGAACAATCTCAAAATAGCAAAGTGCACTTTTGGAAATCAGTATCGGACAAGAACCCAAATAAAACCTCAGTATGTGGTTGTGTATCATCTGCTGTGTTTATAAAGGCATTTCAGTGCAGTAGCAGACTGCAGGAGGGGTATAGGACCAAGTGGTTTTTTAATCACCTTTGCACCATGAAATTCCTGTTTGCTATAAATTCCTTTCTTTTTTGTTTTAACAGTGATGCAGTTTGGAAAAGGAAAGTCCTGTTACTATCGGTTCCTGACCAAAGGCCAGCAGTGGATATGGCTGCAGACACACTACTACATCACCTACCACCAGTGGAATTCTAAACCCGAGTTCATTGTTTGCACTCACCTAGTAGTTAGGTAGGAGCAGGCACCAAACACTTCACAATGTATGTCCCATGTGCTCATGCATTATTTTTTCTAGTTCTGTTTTGTGTTAGCCAAATATTTGCTGTGCATATTGTCACACTAAGGTGGTATGTAAATCTATAAAGCTATTACTACAGGGAACATGTGTTTTTATTACTCCTTTATTCTTTTTTGGCAACCAGGCCAAAAACCTGGAAGCTTTGGCCAAGTCTATCAGTGTGTCATATTCCCCTTTTATCCCTAGCCATGACATGGCTATAGGAAGAATTAAAGCTGTTAAGAATTAGGTGGCTTTATGGGCATGAATGGGACCATACATCTCCTACAAAACCTTTTGATCAGAGCTTTAAATATTTATGATTGAAAAGCTCTGCTGTCTTGCTAACCTGAAACTCAGCCCTGGATCCCCCCCTAGTGGGAAGCTGGTTGTGTTCGACTGCAAATCGGAGCTGGAAGGCGATGTGTGTGTGGGATGCTCTGTGATGCATGCCTTCTGTAGGGGAATCTGCTTGGTTACCACTGTAATCTCAAAAAAGATTGTGTTAAGAGTGGGAATGTATTTACTGAAGGGCTGGCAAAAATAGTGGCATACTGGTTTGTTCTGTTAACTTGAGTAAACATATTGCTCACTGCGTCTTTCTTTACTGTCAGGAATCACTTTGCAAATCTTTTTCTGGTCCCCCTTTTTCTTGTCAGTTGTCTGACAGAACAAAAACTAGGAAACAGGATTCTTCTCTATATTGCAAGACACAGACGGAGAACACCTTACACCACTAAACAGGTGTAAGTGATGAGAGCTGGTGTGCTGATATAAATTGCCATCATAATAGAAACATAGAGTCATAGAATGGTTTGGGCTGGAAGGGACCTTAAAGCTCATCCAGTTCCAACCCCCTGCCACAGGCAGGGAGACCTTCCAATAGACCAGGTTGCTTCAAGCCCCTTCCAACCTGGCCTTGAACACTGCCAGGGATGGGGCAGCCACAGCTTCTTGGGGCACCCTGTGCCAGCGCCTCAGCACCCTCACAGGGAAGAACTTCTTCCTAATATCTAATCTGAGTCTCCCCTTTATCAGTTTAGAGCCATCACCCATTGTCCTATCTCTATATGCAAATTGTAAGCAAACGTTAAACAGAGAGATTGTTTCTGAGTTGTAGCTTCAGGGAATTGGGCTTCACTGTAAGGTCTGAATTTATTGTGCATGGTTTCTTCTTTCTGCTTCCAGTGCCTCTTAAACCTAGTGATACCATTCTAAATTGATTTTGAAATTCAGTTTGTGTCATATAGTTAAGATTTAGAATATATTATTGAAGCACACAAATTAAAACATGCTTTCAGGATAATTCATTGCCTGCAATGGTATAAGTGAGTTCAGCAACTTCTCTTTCCTCCAATGAAGGCTATAGCACATTAATATTTTAGCATCCTAAATTCTGGCACCTTTCCATGCTCATGTTCCACATGCACTTAGAGAGCCTTTAAAACATCCTCTCCAATTTGTCCCAATAGTGAATCATGTGGCATTGTTTACTTTAAATATTTGACTGTATAAGAGAAAAAAAATGCTAAAGAAAGCAAATACACATTTTTAGATCCACATTCCTGGGCATTCCTGCACCTGGGAAACCATTGGTTTGTATTCAGAGCTTCCATGGGACCATGGGATGTTAACATATCCATTTTCTAATGCTGCAGGTTAGAAAATAAATGTATCTTTGCTATGGCAGTTTACCTGCACAGAAGCTGTAGGACTGTTTTTCTGCCTGATGATGGAAAATGGGAATATCCTTTATCAGAAAAATTGTACTGAAGACAAAGCACCCATTCTGTCTTCAGTAACCAAGTGCACTTTGCTTTTAGATTAGTTTTCCTTGGAGGCATCTGAGGCTAAACTTTGCAGAGGAGTGTCTACTTTTGTGCTTGGAATGATTAGTGCAATTAACCATGTAGGCTCTGCAGTCCTGGGTGCACTGGGGCTGAGGCACTGTCCTTTTGGCTTTAATCAATGGATATTCAGCATGTGTTAGTCAGTTACTCACAGACTGCAAGGCTGTATGATGATGTGCCTCTAACCACCTTGTGTATGAGAGAGGGGGAGTCTGTGTGTGCTGTGAAAGCTCCATGGTGATCTGTATGGTAGGATACTTACCATAAAATAGATGATATCCGCACTGAAAAAAATGGATTTTAATTTCTATTTACTTTTTTTAGTTATGCAGAAGTTCGAGCTGAAAGAAGGCGAGATCTTGGCCTTGAGGAGTCATCAATTGAACTGGCATCCTCTTCTCTAAAGGTACCATGTCCCTTCACAGTTGAATGAGTAGGTGTTTAAACCAAACTGAGTAATAACTTATTGGTCTTGGAAAATATCTGTTCTTTCTTTTCCTTCTCCCAAGTCTTCAGTTGGATTATGACCGAGGCAAACCCTGAGAAGGTTTCTATTGCATGTCTCTAAACATTTTAATTCAGGCATATAACTGCAAATTCAGCTGTTCTGCTGTTCATTATCTTTCTGAGGCTGTTATACACACAAGAGGTTAAATCACCTCCGTTCAGAAGCAGAAAAGCAGAGCTGGAGGAGGCTAGATCACTGTACCTGTCACCATTCACAAGACACAGAGGATCTAAGTGCAGGGCAGCACCACAGAGCACCTGGTTTGTTAATGCCAGCTCACCACTGATACTCAGGTGAAGACTGGAAGTTAAGGGAAAACACTTATTCTAGATTTCAGCTCTGTTTACACCACTGAGCAGGATCACATCCTTGTGACCAGAGCAATACACTTCCATGGCTTGCATTGGACTGGCATCCCAACACACCTGCCCCATTCACAAGGACATTTTAATTACTTTTGCATTCTTCCTCTTGGTAGTTTACAAAAACCAGTAAATGCATTTTCAAGTGGATTGATGTGCAATTATAATTCCCTTAGCCTCATTGCTCTTCTGACATTACTTTATAGAAGCTTTATGAGATGTATAGGGGAAGCTGTCCCAGAGACCTCTTGCACTTGAGCAAGGACCATCTTGCAAACAGCTGCTTCTCTGTCTTATTCCCCTTTCTATGTGGCTGAGATATTTTTCTGCAGACCTAAAGCTGCCTCTTTTGATGTAAGGCAGGTGGAGGAGAGGCACAGTGATTGCTCCAACTGCTTCTGGAGCGGAGTGGGAGGCTGGGAGCTCCCAGTGTGCCATGGGCAAGAGATCAGATATCCCTGAAGAAATGGGGCAGAAGAAAGCCAACTATAAAAGCATAAGGATACCTGAAGGCTTTAGGGTGAACATTGAGAGGCAGACCGAATACTGCACTGGGGTTTGGTGGTGTGGTGCTGCAGTGCTGGCCCTTTACACACCCAGCCTGTTATTTCCTATGCAAGCAAGCGGTCAGCGAGGTGGAGGACCCCTCCAGCACTGACGATCTCACCACTTGTGCTTCGCTCCCGCAGAGCCACAGCAGCTACCTGGACGTAGGGCAGTGCGGCAGCAGCCAGGATGCCAGCCGGGAGGGAGTGTCGCTGTCGTCCCACAGCTCCCGGCGCTCCTCACACACCGCTCTCTCCGACTCCACGTGTAGGTGCCAGCGCAGCCAGGGGCCCGTCCCCTCCAAAACACAGGGTTTCACTTTGGGAGTGCTCCAGTCAAGGCAGGAGTGGGGTGCTCAGGGTGTCCAGGACCAACACAACTTGTTACGCTGTGCTGTAACAAGCTATGGTAAGGCACTGAGGTGACCGCAGTGCCCATGCAGGGCCATGGGTAGAAGCCCACACAGGGCTTTTCTTGAAAGCATAGAAATATTTGGGTTGGAAGGGACCGTAAAGCTCATCCAGTTCCAACCACTGCCATGGGAAGGGACACCTTCCACTACACCAGGTTGCTTCAAGCCCCATCCAACCTGGCCTTGAACACTGCCGGGGATGGGGCAGCCACAGCTTCTCTGGGCACCCTGTGCCAGCGCCTCAGCACCCTCACAGGGAAGATTTTTTTCCCAATACCTAATCTAAATCTACCCTCTTTCATCTCAAAGCTCATTCCCCCCTCATCCTATAACTACGTGTCCTTGTAAAAGGTCCCTCTCCGGATTTCCTTTAGGCCCCTTTAGGTACTGGAAGGATGCTATAAAGCCACAGCACCTTGCCAGGCAAAGAGTGGGAAAGCTCATTTCAAGGCACCTATGGAAGAAAGGCTGAAATGTGGTATTAGCATCAGAAGGAAACCTGTTGAGTCAGGCAGGGAGCCAGAGAGGCCACAGAGGGGCAGTCTGGGGACCCAGTTTAGAAGCTTTGTCACTGCTCATCTGTGTCCTTGGAGTTCAGGCTCAGCCAGGGTACCCAGGCACAGGTCTGCAGCATCATAGCAAACTATCTCTTTTCCAGCCACGTCATCCATACGACACACGGACACCAGCACTCCCACCCGCCTGTCAGTGCCAGGGGGGCAGGCAGAGAAGGCAGCCCTGCGGCTGGCATCAGCTGGAAGCACTCAGGTCAGTGGTCCCGGCAAGAAATAGCTGTTACCATGTCATAAAGAAATGAGCTTGATAAACTTTAAGCTTGCCCTCAGAGAGGCTGGATTCTCACCTTCAAGTGTGCTGGGCCTGAGCACAGGGCTGCGGGGAATGCTGCTGGCCAGCAGAGTCAGTGGAGAGCCGCTAGAGCCTCCTCTGCTGCCTCCTTTCGGGATTCGGTTTGCTCCTCCAGGCCAAACACCTTCTCACACCACGAGTCTGCTTTCCTTGGGGTTTGTACATATGGAATGGCATTTATCCAAAAATGGATGCTGACACCGAGGATGGCATGAGGGAACTTAAATTCTCCCTTCAGACTCATCCTCGGATCAACACGTGGAGTTGTCCAATTCCCTCTACCCATCACCAATGTGAGCTGGTATCGCACTGGCTCTGCATCAGAGGTGCTATGGACCTACAGTAAGGCGAAGTTTTCATTTCTAGGCCATAGCAACTCCTCCAGCCCCTGGTGAACAGCTCCCTCAGCCTCCGGTGGCTCAGCTGGCAGCCCCCTCTCAGCACGCTGTGATGGTACGTGGTCTGTTTCTGTTAAACACTGGTGTGGTTGGTCAGTGGGACAGACTTGGTGGCTCCAGTTCATGGTTCTCATTCCTTTGCTGGCTCATCCCAGTATGGGGACAAGGTTTTAGTGCCCTTTCTATTGCTGCTACTGAGATTTACCTGAAGCCAAATTATTACAGCTGGAGACAGAGCAGGTAGGAGAGCCAAGGAGGTAGTGCTCATCTCTGAATTGCTGGCTACTGACTACAGGTTGATATGATAATGAAGAGCTTTATTGCCCTGGTAGAGGAAGAGGATGACACGAAAGGTTTGAGTTAGGCCAGAAAAAGAAATATGTGGGAGTCACAAACCATAACTGTGAGGCCCATCCTCACAGAGCTTTGAGGTCAGTGTAGCGAACATTCAGACTATAATACACAGATTGAAGGTGGTCAGCATAGGTCTGAAGGATGGATCCCAGTGTGGGATTGCAACCAAACTTGGGCCTGGCATTTGTCAGATATAATTAGCAGCAAAGCTGAAAGCCACCCTGGAGGTCTGGGAAGGGTTTGCATGCAGTATCTACCACAAAACATAAGTGGTCCAAAATCAGCAGGGAGTCGCCCTAGAGGGACAGGAAGTCCCATGTGTGGACCCTGCATCTGCACAGGAATTTAATAGGCCAAGGTCTGGAATGAGGCAATGAGTCTGAGCCAGTTGTGCTGCTGCTTTGGAAGTACAGTCACACTTTGGTTAAATATGCAATTGTCATTTTTTGTATCATATTTTCTATGGCAAAAGCTGAAAATCGGTTGTTTTTCTGTAGCCCACATCACTATGAACATGAGTAGCAGGACTGGTTCCACCCCATGATCTTGTTCTCTCTTCCCTGCAGCCAGTGTACCATTTCCCAACCCAGCTGGGGATGATGCATCAGCTGAAAGAGCAGCTGGAGGAGAGGACTCGCATACTGCAAGCTGACATCAAGACGCAGCAAGAAGAGCTCCATGTCATCAAGGAGCAGCTCCAGCTCGTGCAAGACTCCAACCTGCAGGTATTCACTGCCCTCAGCGTTCTCAAACCCACAAACCATTTACTTTTCCTTTGAGCAGATCAGTAACAAGATTGTCAGTGGAAAACACATTTAGAAATGAGCTCCCTATAAATTGGTAGTTTGGTCTCCGATGTGGGAGTAGTATCTCCCAAGAGATGAGTGGTGTCAGTTTCTGCTTAAGTACTGAGTCAGTAATTTTCATCATTTAAAAAAAACTAATCTCAAGCTAATCCAAATTTCCTCCTGCGCAAAGAGCTTGGAGGTTTGGTGGCTGGTTAATGCTGCTGGACCCCATTGCATTCCTGCAAAATGCAACAGGCATAATGAAGCTGGAATGGTCGTGGCTCTGAATAAGTATTTAGGCACAAGCTAACATGTGATTTTCTGTTATTGATGGATCACATTGCCCCTGGATTTAGAGATGTTGGTTTCTGTGCCCATGGCAGGGGGATTGGAACTAGATGATCTTAAGTTCCTTTCCCAGCCTAACCATTCCGTGATTCTAAGATGCTGTGTTGCTGCTGCAGTGTATCTATGCTGATAGAGACAGTCTGGGAGCTGGAGCCATTACCTCCCAAGCAGCACAACCACCATATGAGCCGTGACAACTCCATTGTGTGTCTCTCTTATCTGAAGATGCTGATGCAGCAGCCGATCCCCATAGTCTTTAACAACCTGCAGCACCCAAACCCCAGGAGGCCGCCGCTGGGGACGCCCAGGCAGACGACAGCCAAGAAGTCACAGCAACAAGGCCTTACAGGGATGAAGCACTACTGCAGCACCCTCCTGCCCTCACCGCGCCAATTCCTCAGGGACCCCTGCGGCACGGCTGCCCAGGTCACTCCCTGCTTTGTTGTCTCCATATTACCCCCTTCCTGTCTACTGTGTTCCTGCTCTCCATGGTCCATAGAGAGGACCAAACCGCACACGTGCTCTGTGCTGGTTTTACTCTGTAGCATCCATTACAAAAATTGGCATTCGACTAAAAATAAACCCTAAGCAGCCTGAAAGCATTAAGCCTTGGGGACCACTGGAGCCATCCTGGTGATCAGAGAGGAGCTGAGTGGGAGATTTGGGCTCTGATTCGCTTCTCTTTATGACTGCAGCATGATGCTGGTTCATAGCCAGTGAGTGTAGTGACTTCGTAACGTGGGGAAGTAGCTATAATTATAGAAGATAAATTTTCTTCTGCCAGAGAAGGCTTGGAAGGCAGGTTTGAAACCCAAGTTTGTCACCACTAGATCTAAACCCGCTGCATAGATAGTCACATCTCTTTTGGAAAGAGTTGAGGTGTCCAAAAGCAAAAAAAAAGACCAAACCTACTGCTTTAAAGAGAAGATGAGACCCTTTGTTTGGGGACTTCCTTGGAAGCTGTTACTTTAGCCTTCTATTAGGGAGCTGTAAAAGCTCACATGGGTATCTATGTCTTCGTTTCAGGTACAGCAGCAGCAGCAGCAGCAGCAGCACCTAGTGAGAGGAAACCAAACCCAGCAAACGCGTCTGCCGGGGCAGACGAGCATTTCAGTGCCCCTCTACAACAACCCTGTGGTGTTATCACAAGCACATCCCATTACAGTGGCTGCACAGATGCCAGCTGACGGCAGTGAAAGGCAACTGCAGTCTGACTACAGCCAAGACAGGAGCCTCAGGTGTGAACACAGCCCTGCTGGGACCATCCTGATGGCGGTGACAGAAAGGGGCAGTACCTGGGCAGCAGGGGGGGGAGGCACATCTGGGTTTGGGGGTGATGGACTCTGGTTGCCACAGCAGGACCATAAGGATGTTCCCTCCAGCAGACATCTGTGTTAGTGGTGAGCCCAGCATGCATGCAAGCAGGGTGCTAGGCACACCATGCTGTACCCTCAGGGGCCTGAAATCCTTTTCTCTCCATATTTCCATAAATTGCCCATGTGGCTCAGTAACCTTTGGATGCCTTCTGCTGTCAGAGGGCGTGAAAAGGGAAAAATAGTAGGGACAGCTTTTCCCAAACCTGTGTGTGCTTGCTCTGAAGTGTCTTTTCTCCAGGCAGGACAAGTGCTGTGCCAAAGCCATTTTTCTTTTATACAATGCTGGAAACACTCTGTAAAACATATACAAGTGCCCAAACTATTCAACCAGCTTTCAGGGAGGTGTGTGCAGACACTGCCTTCAGGATCCGGCTGTTTCCAAATACTGTGTAAGGAAACAAGATAAACCCTCAAGTTTAACTTTCTATAAGACATACCTTTTTTTCATACATGAAAGATTTAGCAAGTTTCAGCTCAGCTCTGTGAGTGCATCAGACAAGGTGATAATAGCATCCTATTTCATTAGCCTATTTTTCCAAGGTGATGGTTTGCATATTTTCAGGGAGGATTTTCAGGGATTTGTTTCTAGAGACAGCCAGCCACGTGTTTGGACCTCACCCTTCCCTGACCATCCTGTTTTCCTTCCACCGCAGGATGCTGTTGGACCAGTCTATCCAAGCCATGATGCCTGCCACCAATGGCAGTGGCCAGTCCATGCAGAGCAGTGCAAGCAGGCAGCAAGGAAAGTGAGTGAGTCCTTGGTGTCTTTTGTTTTCATGCAGTGTTTTAGTAGGGCACCTTTAGCACTGAAAAGTATTTTGAAGAACTTGTACATGGTCATGCAAATGCAAAGTCTTGGTGTTAAAAGGAACAAAAGCTCATCTGGTTAGGAGAAAAGTAATGAGAATATTTTTAATTACAAAGAACTATGTGATAACTAAAATGCTTTGTAAAAACGGATGGGGTGTTAAGCATTTTCTACCTTTTGCAAAGCCTAAACTGCCTAACCAGGTTATGGAGATGTACAGCCTTAAAATATCTTAATGTTCTGCAGTTCCAGTCCATGCTTGATGGAGAGGGGGATATCCAGGGCCTGCTATCACTGCTATCACAAACCCTGCTCTGGTTGGGTTCTTGCATCACCTGGGCTCCCCAGCACCTGCTCCACGGTTCTCATGTCTGATTTTCCTCCTCGTGGCAGATTCGTTGCAGAGCAGCAGATCTTGCCTCCCCCAGTACAGATGCAACCGGTTACCTGTAGCACTGTCCGACCTCCAGCCCCGTCGCCCGTTTTCTCCCCATCCCTGATGATCCCACACGCCAGCTTCACATCCCACCAGGCAAACACACCGGTTCATCTCCACCAATGGCCACAGCAGCAGGTTCAGCAGCACCGTCTCTACCTTCAGGTAATGGAGCTGGAGCGTGTTTCTGAGGGTGCAGAGGGATGGCTTTTGGGGTTGGGTTGGGGTTTTATTTTGAAGGAGTGGGGCTTCCGTGGCTAACCGAACCTGGTCAGTGCACTTCCACATCCTTCACTCCCATTGCATCTGTGTGTACCCAAGTGCTCAGCCTTTCCAGGCTGCCTCTGCACCCGTTCAAGGCCGCAGTTTCCAACAAACTCATTTATCACTTAGTGTACAGAAGAAATACCCATTTTTGTTGAACACAGTGGGAATCCTGCTGTAGATGTGAAATGTGATGAAGGATAAGCTCTTTTGAAAACATGCCTCCTGCTGTTATGTCTCAGCATAACAGGGTTTTTGTCAGCTGCCATCACTGCTTTCTGTTAATAAATGGGTGTTTTACAACACAAATCTCTGGAGAAGGTGATTTTGATTTTCCAAAGCACAGCTTCATCAGTGCATGGCAAAGTAATGCTGCTAAGAAGAGGGTTTGTTGAGTGCGCTGCAATACACTCTCCAGCACTTGCCTGGTTGGTGGAATAAGTTATGGTCTTTCAGGCAAAGGTGATTGATAGAAAACAAAGCAGGAGCTGAGAGTAGCCATGCAGCAGGACTGGATTTAGAGTAAGAAATGAATTGCCAGCAAATGTGTGCATGAGCCATCCCAGCTTTGCGTACACTGAAGTCCTGAGAACTAGTGATATGGGCAGCAGAAGGATGATGCTGGGGAAGATAAGCAGCTCCGGGGCAGCAGAAAACCAGGCTTTGGTGCCACAGTACCTTTAAGTGGGAGTTTGGGGTACCAGCCATGGGACCATAGACAAGGTCACTTTACAACCTCTTAACTGGTTGCCTGAAGATCCTTCCCATGGAAGATGGAAGTTGCATGTCCCACAGATTTCTAACTTGTGTCCAAATATCCTTTGAAGTTCTCCATTCCTGCTGGGCTCCCCATGGGGCTGGTTGGTAGGATAGATATGTCCTGCTTTCACTCTGTACTCTCCAGGCATTGTTAGTCATGCTGATAGCACCAGCATCCCAAGCTGCTTGTCCACAACATATACGCTTGATGGGTAGAGGTTACCTTTAGGACTTGGGCCTCACATCCTGGTTATGAGCCTTAGCATCAGCTCCACAGCAAGGGACAGTGGATGGGTGATAGGGCAGGTCTGACCCACCCCGTTTGTGTCTCCTGGCAGATGCAAGGTCCCGAGCTGGTGCCTGGGGGTGCACAGCGCATTCTGCAGCCACCCCATGCACCGCAGCAGAACCCCCTGAGCTACTTCCTGCACCCGCAGCAGCAGAGCCGCCACACGCAGGGCCAAGCCTCTGACCTGCCCGAGATGCAGCTGCCCTGAGCGCCAGGTCGGGTGCAGGGAGTACCATTGGCTGCAGCCGCTGCACCTTGGAGCACACAGAAGGAGCACGACACTGTTGGAGCAACAGGATGGGTGAGGCCAGGCCTGCAGGGAAGGTGGTGGCTGGAGGGACCAGTCCCCACCAGGGATGGATGGCTCCAGGGCACCTCATCCACTGGGATTCATACATGATGCTGCTCCGGCAGCTGTATGTGCCCTTGGCCAGCACCGCAGAATGACTGGAAGGCAATGGCTTTCTGGCTGCAGAGAGGTTATTTATTGGGTCGCCGTGAAGATTGCTTTGCAATGGAGGAAACCCTTTTCCATTCAGGACTTCAATGCTAAAGTCACTGTGAATTTAAGCCCAGCGTTTGGAGCACACACACAGACTGCAGCGGCCTGCAGGATGCCGTGGGATTACCATGTATATAACTCGTTTTGTTGTAGTAGGTCCATTGTGGATTCCCCCCCCACCTTTTTTCTATACCTCAGTCCCACAATTTTTTGTTTTCCAGGAGATTGGATAATGCTGCTAATTTACGTAACACCACTTTTGCCTGAATTTCTTACTGTTGTTATACCAGCTCACACCGCAGCTAGTAAGATACTCGTCATGTTTTATTTTGGTTAATGAGTGGAGATAAATTTATATGGTTTTTACTCCCTGTAGCCACGTATTTTTCAGGTTACAAAGAATCCTTGTTCTTTTATTGGTTGCTTTGTTCTAGTGATGCAGTTGTATACGTTTCTATACCTGAAAACAAACAAGCAAGCATAGAACAGCCTGTGACGGCAAACTTTGTGGTTTTGCTAGATCATGTTTCCATTTGGCCAACCTGAACGAATCACAAGGACACAAGAGATGTTCCGAGTCCATAGGGTCAGCAATAAACTGTATTTTTGTAAGATGTCACTTTTAAACTATAAGTTTATATTTACGAATTGAAAGCAACAACAGCAGTTTATTCCTCAGTGGGTGTATGGTTTAGCGTCCCTACTCTTTGTGTCTTTCCAAAGACAACATGAAAATGTACATTTTTGAGGTATTCGTAGCTGAATACGTTGGGCACTGTTAGCCCAAATGTAGGAGATAGATAGATTAGTATAAGCTTTGCAAGAAACTGGCTAGTTAGGACCAGGTCTATCTAACAGCTGAGCTCCATCTGGCAGTCAGAGCAAGGTTTGGGGCCCGGTGAGTTCATAACTTGTCGAATCCAAGCAAAGCGTGCTTTTTTGTTTCTTTTTATTTTTTTTGTTTGGTTGGTTGTTTTTTTTTTGTGTATTTGGTTGGGGTTTTGGCATTTGTTTGCTTTTTATCGTGTGCAAGCTGCTTTCTTGGCTCTTGGCACCACCACAGCAGCTGGTCACTGGTACTTACTGATAGAGCAGCCTTTGGCATGAGCAGCCCAAGCAGCAGGGGGGAAGTGGGAAAGTTAGCATGAAAAAACCTGGACATACCTAACAGTACATGGATCTATAGCTAGAGATCTCTGATGCTGTAGGATATAGCTCTGTCTATAACTAGCTTCTTGGCTTTAGGGCTAGGTGTGAGTGCTTGGGCTCAGTGGCAGGGGGACAGAAAAACCTGAGTGTCGAACAGGTTGTGGCAGCCCGAGCTTCTCAACAAGCTCAGGAGCTGAAACAGTGACAGCCTCGGCCCTTGGCTCTTAAAGCCCAAGTCCTGGGGAGAACCAAGGGTCCTTCGTGCCCCAGCACGTGAGGGGCTGCAGCAAGGGCCAGCACACAGCCTTTGAGGTAGGAAAGTATTTATCTTCATTCTTAAAGCACTGTTACTTTTAGGGTCTCCCCTCCCATCCTAGGACAGTAAAGCTGCTCATGAGGTTAGGGCAGGAGGAGTTGTTATATTTTGGGGGATTGTTTGGGGTTTTTTTCCTTCCCTCTGACCTTGGCACATAATGTTAGTGGGGAAGCAAACACACACATTTAGGGCTCCACTGTTGTGCACAATTTGTGGCCCAGTGTGGCTGGCAGGAGGAAAAGGCCATGCATCTGCCCGTTAAAGCTGTATTGCCCCAACACACTACCGTGGCTGTTCCACAGTGTCCCATCACAGTACAGGAGCCCAGACATGGTAAGTGTCAATCAACCAGAGGTGATGGTGGTTGTGGTCTGGGGCTTGGTAGCCAAGGCAGAGTAGTTCACTGGCATTGCTGTGGCTTCGAAAGCAAGCCAAGTCCAACAAAAGCAGGTTGGGAAGGGGCTTGGGGGGGAGGTGGGTATGCCGGATGGGGCAGTGCATGGACACAGCCCTTCTGATGGCAGTTCTGGGCTGCACAGACAGGGAGGGAGGGGGGATGTGGGGTGGTACTGACACCCCTGCTCGCAGCCTCCCAGCACGGAGCACAGGAGGTTTGCAAGGATGTTTACATGTTAGATTGGCCTTGCTAAACTAAGAGACCTAAAATGCACTTTATCATGTGTCCCCCCCACCGCCCCTATTCCCAGTGCCCACCCCAGCCACTAGCCCAGCTGCTGGCCAGCAGTGGGTGGCTGCTTGGTCCCGGGCACTGCCTCTCGGGTAGAGCCATGTTTTCCAGACATGCTCCAAAGGACAAAATCCCATAGTCCCTTTTTGGGGTTTGCTTGGTCCCTGCTTGGTCTGCCTCTAGGCTGGGGGGAGGCTGAGTCAGGGCCGTGGGGTTTTTGCCTTCTATTGTCACTTATTCTCAAACAAATAGATGAATAAATAAATACCTTTATTCAGGTTGCTTTGTATTTGTTTACCTCAGTGTTAGCGATGACCTGTGTTTTTGAGACCCATTTGGAATTGAGGGTTGCTGGTGGGTTTGGTGCTTACAAGAACACAGATGTGTGACTTGTTGCTGATGAGCAGTGGGTGGGAAAGTGACTGATGCCACCTGTGTCAGGTTTGGGCTCCAGTGTCAGTGTCAACCTATTAGTCATTAATGTTCTGAGGCTTTCTAGTAGACAAGCACCTATATACTATATTTCTCTATATAGATATACAGATAGATGTATTTTTAATATACACATTATGTGCATGTATGTGTATATCTATATAAAAATACATATATATAGGCCACACAATTCCAGACCTCTGAAAACACAGGCAGCTTTAATAAATAAAAAGTCTTGCACTTTTAGCATATTTGTATATATAAGCTAAAGCCTGGTGGGTATAATCAGGCTGGTTTGACAAACACAGTGAAAAGTTACTGTATATATTGTATATACTCCATATAAAAGAAAATAAGGAAAAAAAATCTTAGTATAAATCTTGTTTTATTTTATATGATGTCAAATATAGATACCTTTATAAATGTTACTATTCTTAAAAGTATTTTGTAATGGGGAAAAAGGAAGTGTCTTATGAAGATGAAAAGTAAAGATTTTATTCTTGTCTTGAATCTATGTCCCTGCACAGCTCCATTGAATGGGAACCCGTGCATTTTGACAAGCTTTAAACAGATTGTACATAGCATTTAAAAATAAAAAAAAGAAAATAAAGAAAAAAAAAGGAAGAAATAAAATAATACTTGTAAGAGCTCTTACTCCAAGTGTCCGGTTGTTATTCCCTGGGTCCATTGGGGATCAGGAGCTGCAGGTGTATGAACAACTGAAAGGATGTGGCTTAAGACAGAGGCTGGGATTTCAAGTGCCAGAAGCAATAGGGCAATATATAAATTAGAAAAAGGCGTCAGAGTCAGTGTAGATATGTCTATGCACTGTAAATGTTTTAATTTGGATGCAAATAATGAGTAACAGGACTCCTTCTGGGCTAACTCGCTGTCATGGCACTGAAGCTGACTTGACTGTTCCCAAGGCTAAACTAGTCCCAGGTTTCAAAACCTGGGTCTCCTCTTTGTTTTTCCTCCACTTGTGGAGAGGCTGGCGTCCTAGCATGGCTTTTTGCTTAGCCTTTGCTTTGGAAAACACTGACTGAACTTTAACATGGCTTTAACATGACCAGTGCTCTTGAAGGAACATCAGAAACAGCCCACCCTGAGAAATAATAGTGCCTCAAATATAGATTTTTATTTTCTTAAGTGAAACAAATTTGTAACACCCCATTTGTCTTACAGTACTTCAACATACAATACATGGTATAAAAGCCAACCTGCCAACACAAACCTGTGTTGCCTTCTTGGTGAAGTGACAAAGCTATAGCAAAAGACAAGACAAAATAGCCTATTTTTCTGGAAACAAATTGGAATATTACTTTTTGTTTTAGTCCAACTGCAGTCACAATGGAGACCCCTGTATGGTACCACTAGATGAGCAAGTTCTAACAAAAATCAACACACAGCTACTTTTTAGTCACTATGGCAGCAAACTCTTCAGAAAATACGTTATTTTCTAGCCATTAGAGTGATGAACAAGGTTGTTGATTTAGGAATGGATGGAAACACAGAGAGCTTTTTCTGAATCACATGGCAGTGACCACTTTAATGACCTGGGAAATGGTACTGGTCAAGTTACAAGCAGTTCTCCCCACCATGGTAGAAAGCGCTCAGTTTTATTACTATTAGTTGAGCTGTTCCCTTACCTCATGTATCCAAGCCCTCAACTCGGCGCACAAAGAGGTCAAGCAGACTCTTGGACCACCAAAGTAACTCTGCAAGTCACCCCCTGGGCTAACAATTACACCTGACAAAAGGCACCTTACATGCACAACGATGCTAGGAATGGCCTACCCAGTAGGAAGGACCGTGCAGCATGAGCTAACAGCCACTGAGGAGGTTTGAGGGTAAAAAACCATGGCATAGCTGCCAAGTCACACTGGTGATGCTGTAGCAGGTAGTGCATTTTAAAACTGTATAAACAGCATCCCTAGTTTTAACAATCTCTATCCTACCTACAACTATGTTCTACTGAATGCACATTCATTTATCACCTATGACTGAACCTCCCAGAAAAATAAAACAAATCCATGGAAATGGTTACAGAAAAAAGCAACACAGATACGTGAAATGACACATCAGTACTCACTTACTTAACCACACTGCTTCCTGTTTGTGAATGAACTGCTCAAAGTTCAAACAGCACTTCTACAAACTTCCAAGTTACAATCTGAATGGGAAGTCGTCCCCCCCAGGAGATAGATGAGTAATTCTGGGTCAGACGCTCTGCACCCACCAGACTCCCTGCTGGCACTTCTGCTTAACTCCTGCTACACATGGCAGCTGCCCTGCCACAGAACTGTGCACGCTGACAGTGGCCCCATGCGATGGGATGTGAATCTGGGCTCATCTTTGCATCACCAGGAACTTCAGATGGCCAAAGCACTGCATCACACAGGAATTGCTGTCCCTGACAGCAACTTAAAGTCAAGGGCTTTAAAATCAAGGCATCACCCTTTAAAGCTTTTAAAGCCCTGACAGGGCTTTAAAGGCAAGGCATCACCCTTTGGGACTGAAGAGAGGGGAAAAAGCTTCTACTGCTCTCGCTTTCCTGATCCCAGCTAAACTGGGTAGTAAATATATGCAAGCTTAATTCCACAACAGGAAAGGAGCTAGCCCCTAACTCCAGACTTAGTCACAAACAAAGCACACTGTGGAAGCAGCCCAGCACACACACCTCTGGGTCACGCTTTTAGGAAAGAGCTAGTGTTTGCTACATTAGATCTCCCCAAAGGATTGGCCATGATTTATAGGCTCCAGAAGGAAGAATCTGCTGGTCAGGCAGTTGCTCAAGTGCCACCAGCCTGCTGGAAGCAACCTTGATCCATCCTTGCTAAAGCTGGATGCCTGGCCACTCTGATTACTCTGGCTGGATCAATGTGCAGGTGTATTACAGGAACAATGTAAAGACATTAACCTTTTGGGGAAAAAATATACACAAATTGAACAGAAAATCCACACAGTTAAAAGTCAGTGCTCCCCTACATAACCTAACTTCTCACCTTAAATATATATTTTTTTTATATATATATATGCTGGTAATCTCTCTTTATACGTAGATATGATAGCTGACAAGAGCTACTACACAAGTGGTAATGATGACCCTACAGTCTCTCAGACTGACACTAATAGAAAACAGTACTTTAAAAAGGTGCTCAGTTCTGCACACCCAAACCAAGTCACATCACAAGGCCACTGTATTTTCCAGGTTCCTCCAGTACAGTCTCACGTACTTAGAAACTCAACGTCTTGGCTCCCAAGAAAGAAACATTACTGAGTTTCATATCTCTGTGCTACCTTGCTTAGCAAATAGTTCATACCTTTACTTGAAATTAACAACATCCCTCATAAACCTTCAAAAGGTTTTTGGATGGGCAGCTGCAGCTATCCTCATGGGGCTCCATTAATTTTGGCACAGGTATTTGCAAAAGAATTCACTGAACAAACCTTATGTATGTCCTGGACTAGAACAACATCACCTGCTTTGTATTTCTAAAACATTATGAAAACAGTGAGTAAATACATTTCAAAAGTAACACAGTGTTGCCCTACTTTGCCTCAGAAACAAATCCATATAAATTGATAGTTTTTTTCTATTTTATGCATAAAAATACAAATCAGCATTATATTGTACCAAGTGTTAATTATTTTGTGAAGGCTTCTGAAAAAACCTTCCTCATTTCTCACATATATGATATAGTTTTTGGAGTTACTGTTCATTCAATAAAACTTTATTTTACATTAATACCTGAGAGTATGGGGGAGAGTAGAAGAAATAACTCACAAATTCATTGCTCCTGGTCAAAACTGTATACTTTAGAAGCAGCATGGGAACTTCAACACCAATTGCCATGTTGGTATTTCATCACGTGCTTGTAACACGCCAGAATTTCATTTTATTCTTCATTCATATTAGTATTGCAAGAAAAGCATCAGTGAATGACACCATTCCCATACTGCTGCTTTACAAAACACATGCACAGTATAAAAATAATGCTGCTCTGCAGAAGAGGACTGTCATACAGGCTTTAGAAACAGCCTTTCTTAACTAGTTTAGCAGAGTGTCCCAGTTTATTTTGTTGTTGTTAAAATACAAGCTCTTCCCCTCTTTCTTTGAACCCATTCTAGCACCAGCTACCACAGGTTCAAGGCCAACTTTTATCAGCATTAATGGTGGCAGAGCTTGCCTGCTGTATAATTTTTTACACATTAAAAATGTCAAGTCACATTCCAGAAGACATCATGAAGGTATCTTGTGAATCATGTGAATCATGCAGATAGAGAGAAAACATTACAGCACCAATAACCCACAGAGCTCCAGAAAAGAAAGAATAATTATTAGATTGAGGTATGGACTCAGGGTAGCAAAGAAGCAACTGCAATGTGTCCCACTAGCAGTTCAATAGTCAGCATTCGGCTTGCCATGAAGCAGCTAACATGGTCTGTGCTTGGGCTTTCCAAACACAAGCAAAATAATACATTTCATCGACATGCTCCTCAGAAGCCAACAATGGCTCCTCTTGGAAGATGAATAACAACCACCACATGGTCAGACAGATTTAGCCATCGCTTCCCCTTGATTTCAACAATCAATACTAGCTTCTGCATCCATGTGCAGGCTGGCTAACCAAACAACCCTCCATCCTTTTCACCTGTATTGTAGGAAGACTGGTATGAAAGTGGGAAAGAAAACTCACATACAGGCTGATCTAGAAGAGCAGGAAAGCAGTTGTTGCAAAAACTGAGATGTGGGCTGGAAGAATGCAGTCTGCAAACTGCTGACAAGAGGCTGGAATATGCAGGAGTCCAGAAGCATCAGTAACACCAAAGCAGAGGAATTGAGAGCTGGGCAACTTTCTTCTCTAATCTCATGTTCCTGTGCTTACCATAGCCTCTATTCTTAGCCTTCACCCTGCTTTGCTCCCAGTCCACATGCAGGTTTGGAAATAACTAATTAAACTAACCTGGAAGACAACCTCTAAGCTGTCGATACTCCTTTTAAGTAAAAATGGCTGGAAGTCATTCCCTTTATCACAGTAATAGAAATTGTGTGAGAGCACATGCTCTAACAGCTGTCATTCAGACAGGTCTGCAATAGGTCACAGCCAGTATTTCCAAGCAGTGTTGCATATTTTAATAACATGGTAAAGACAGTTTATCATTCAGTCCTTTCCTGGAGTGAAACTTATGAACAATGCAAAAAAGTGATTGTGCTTCAAACTATTTTTATTTACATTACATACCAGTAATCTGATATTTAAAGCTAACTCTTTAAACTCCATTCCCTGTGTAAACACCAGACACAATTTCCATAGCAACAACCTTCATTTGTAAGCGCTTTATGTGGTTAATTCAGTCAAAGGTAAAGAAAATTACATTCTGGTTCTTGCTTTAAGCTGTAAATTTTTAGCACTCTCTATTTTAGCTTTTATGTCATGAGGTTTTTCGAAAAATCTCACAAAGGCTGGCTCATTTAGTAAGGATGCCAGAATCTGTTCAAAGGCAAAAGACCATTCATGGTTCCCTCTCAAACTCTGCGCTCTACTGCCATCAGTCTGCTCAGAGCTGCTTTCCTCCTGCCCTTCTCTGGGGATTTCAGCAGGCACCTCCACAATGGCTACTGGACTTTTGACCGGTGATGTGGGACTCTG